AATTATGGAGAAAAAGATTAAATGTGATTTATTAATATATTATGAGATAAATATATTAAAGGAGAAATCATATTGTTTAATTGATATTAGTCAAGAATTAATTAGTAATTAGTTTTGTGAGTAAAAGAGATTAATTAAACTTAAGGGACTGGAATTGTAATTATAAGATAATTGCAATTTGGGCTATGGATTGTCTTAAATTAAGGAGTGGACGAATTCTATGGGGAAGCCCATAAGGAAATCGTCCAAGGCCTTAATTAAAGGAGTCTATGGGTTGCTTAGGGCTTAAGCATCCAAAATAGGGTTTCCTTGTTAGATAACCCTAATAGCCTCACTATATAAAGAACCCTTATGACCCAAAAACGTGGGGAAGACTTCTTCTAGGGTTAGAACATGTATTGGGTAGCCTCCATCCCCTCTCCTCTTCATCGTCTTGCTTATGGTGTTTGTGAACCATTAGAGGAGTGACATTTTTGACTCTAAGCTTTCTAAAGTCAATACATGGAGGAATTGGGATTGTTATTGCTACATAACAATCAAGGTAATATCTTAAACCTAATTATATGTTAATATCAATTTCCATATGTTAGAATTAGGGTTTATAGTCTTGGATAACTTGCTTGTACAATAGAGAAACCTAGATCCAAGCATTAGGGTTTGTATGAGCACATATGATGTTCTTATGACCAAAACCCATCATTATGCACTAAGGTGTCCTTAGAGGATCAATTGTGATACAGTTTCATAATCGCTAAGATGATCAGAAAACATGATACTTAAGTACTCTCCATTCATATCAGATTGGAGAATCTTTTATCTTTCTGCCTAATTGATTTTTCTTATTCATTGTGCCACACATTGAAACTTTTCAATGATTCAAAATTACACTTATTCTTGTAAACATAACCATATTTACTAAAGTTTTAGCAAATCATGAAGAGTATTCTTATCGTTCTTTATGGTGTACTTGACCTAGTGCACAACAATGTGCACTAGATCCTTTAGTCCTTCACTTGACTCACATACTTGTGTGAGCAAGGAATTAGTCTTAATTTTCCAAATACAAAGGTTCTCATTCATCATACAATATCAGTTGTATGATTCCAAGTTTCTATCTAAGTGAAACTTGGGTGATGAGAATCTTTCCTTATTTGGTAAAATCTTGACACTACCACAAATAACATAATTAAGAATCACATTCATTTCAGTATTGCTAACAATAGAAACATATAAACATCAATTTTTCACAAATGCCATTGCAATGATAAAAATAAGACAAAACCAAAATTTATTTTATCTATATAAATGCAGAAAAACTTGTCCTTACAATCGCAATTACAAATGAAAACTATGTAAATATTCCTAAGAAATCTCTCCTAAATCTTCTAAGTAGCAACTCAAAAATATGATCTTCGAACCATGCGATCGAAATCCATTTCTTCATGGTCAGAATCAGCTCACTCTTCCTTTTAAGCTTCCTTTCTTTTGTTGGATCCAACAAAACATTAAAATGTAATCTTATCATATCATGTATTAAAAATCTAAATAGAAACTTAATCGAGTTAGATATTGGATTTACCTGAAGCAAAGTCATACATCTTGACTCTCCGAACTTCTTGATCCTTCAGGTAGGTACGTTAGCTTCGCAACCAATGCCCCTTCTCTTGGCAGTAGAAACAAACAGACTTCTTCAGAATGGTACATGGGACACTCTCAGACTTAGCCCTTCTATTTCTTAGAGAAAACTCTTTTGGACTTCCAATGTTGCCACTGTCAATGTCCATGGAAGTTTTGGAGGTTGATCTTCCCAACAAATTTGCTTCACTAGTGCGCCGAATCATCACTGATTCAGTAGCAATATGGAAACAGGTAAGATCAATGAAAGTCACGTCATGGTCCATCATATAGTACTCTCTAGTTAACTCACAATATGATTCGAGAACTGATTGGAGAACCAAGTCAACAGCCAATTTCCTTGAGATAATGACACCCAACATTCCCAACTTATCAATGTGTGACTTCATCTCCAAGATGTGTGCATACACAAACTCTCCATTTTTGTGTTTACTTGCCAATAGGGCTTGAGTGACCTTGAAGTTTTCAAGTCTTCAAACACGTGGGCCAGGGAGAACTATTGGAGGAGGTGGAGGAAGTGAAGCATGATTTCCATTTCCACGATCCAATCGTGGAACATCACCTTTAAGTGGAAAGCCTTTTCCAAAGGATTCGGGAAGACCAGAAGAGTCCTTGATATAACACCCAAATAAAATATCAAGGCTAGGATCCAAAACAATATTCTGTAATTAGGAAGAGGGATGTCGTAATACAAGTGCAAAGTATTTGAAGGTAGGTAAATGATGATTTACCAATTTCCAACATGAAAAACGAAAAGGAAGTTAGGTTTTAAATGTTTTGAAACTCCTAGATCTTTTGAGATTCCTTGAACTTTTCAATGGTAGGTTTAATCTTGATTATGACCTTCAAGTTTATAACTAGGATGTCGAGGATCACAGACAAGGTGTGGATAACCATGCAAATTAGCTTTGTACTCTCGATGTCAATCACCACCCAATCAATGTGTCGGTTAACCACACACACTCCATTGATCAATGATAATCTTACGAGAAACCCATTGCCATCCTTTATTGGTCCCATATTAGTGTGTTAGTTAACCACACACGCTCCACTAATCACCAACAAGGTGCAAAGTGAAATTTCATGGATTAGCACCAATTCAATATATTTCCTAAAGTAACTAAGATTTAGAAATTTGTAAAAGTGTTTAGTTACTTCGTATTTCATTATATTTATAATGGAAGGTTGTGTCCTATCCCACCCATTCGGCTAACGACCCTCAACTAAGATTTAGAAATTTGTAAAAGTGTTTAGTCATTTTACAAGCCGCTTCCTTAAACACCCCTTATAGACCAGCTTTGTGAATGAGGTCTACTAACGATAAGACAGACCTTTTTTACTTATACATAATATATTATCCTTTTAATTTTATATATAGTATAAGGGTGTATTTTACACTTTTTAAAATACTAAGTGGTTTAATCTATTAATAAATTAGACTTTTAATTTGATTAATCTTTAAACCATATTCTTATGGATTTATTAATTATCACTTTTAGTTAAACATTTAACTAATTTAATAAAACCATAAAGGTGTAATTTGAACTTTTCAAACTATGAGGGTTTTAGAATTTAATATTTTAAAATTAAAATTTTTAATCAAATTTTAAATTCCCAAACTTGAGGGAAAATTTTCAAACTTCTCAAGATATATTTTAGGTCAAATTTGAAATATAATTAAATATCATATAATTAATAATTATCACATAATTTGATCTAATCCATTTTTTTCCTTACAAGATAATTCAAATCAAAATACAAATAATTAGTATTTATCTTATAAAAACAAGTAATTATCTTAAATTGATAATTATCCATTAATTTGATTCGAAAATCAATTACCATAATTAAAAAATCTGATTTTTATTTGAAAAAAAAAACAATTTATGGTAATAATCCAAATCAAATTAGGGCAAAAAATATCGAAATGTGCTGTCAGATTTGAGCTCACGTCGTGAGCCTGGTTGAAGATCGAAAAACTCAAATTTTCAACTTTGAAAACTTAACCTTTGCATCATATAACAAAAAAACTATGTTTTAAGCAGAACATCATTCATATGGTGTACATGCAACCCTAATGCTTCATATCTAGGTGTTCCTCAAGTTATACATGCAAACAATCTTCCAAAGCATAAACCCAAGGTCTAGCATACTATAATTAAAATTAACATATGAATAAGGTTAGGAATATTACCTTGATAGGTATGTAGCAATAACAATCACGAATCCTCTTGATCTTGACATCTGAAAGCCTAGTACCCCAAGTGTTGCACCTCTAATGGAGTCACAAATACCACTAGAAATTATGATGAAAAAGAGCGAGAGAGAGGAGAGTCACAAAAAGTGTCAAAGATCTTCTAGGAATGCTTAGCCACTTTTTGGGAGCTTTAAGGGTCGTTATATAGTTGACGCTTCTAGGGTTATCAACTTGAAAACCCTAATCCAGTTGCTTAGTCCTTAAGCAGCCCAAAGATCCTTCCAGAAGGCCTCCTTGTAGGTTTCTATGTGGACTCTCATACAGAATTTGTCTACTGCTTCCTTATGGATCCTAAGCCCAACTTCCTAAGTATCTTATAATTACAGTATCGGTCCCTTTTATTTAATTAATCTCTTTTGACCACAAAATTAATTATAAATTAAGTCTTGATCAATATTAATTAAACAATAGGATTTCTCTTTTAATATACTATTCACATAACATATTAACAAATCATAATTAATCCTATGTCTCCTTAATGCATCCTATTAGTTGCTATGGTGAAGGCAACCCAAAAGGACCATACTCATAATCGGTCAAGTACATACCAAAATAGTTATGTGCTTAGACACCTAATCCAACAGTCTCAACCAAGATAACATATATGGGTCGCATGATAATATATAAACGGGCCTCGCCCATGGGTCTTACTTAAGATAACTTATAAACGAACCTCACCCATGGGTCTCACCAAATAAACACAAGCCTTGCCCAACTAAAAAAGCTAAACAAGTATGTATATCAACATGGCTCTGACAACCCTTATAACTGAAGAAAAGAGTGACTAAAAAAAGAATAACGGGTCTACCTCATCCCAAGTGAAGTTTGTGGTTCCCTCCACATTTTTACGACCACCCTTACAGTGGCCTATATAAGCCAAAAGGTCCCTCCCTATGGTCTAATTTGACATATGAATGTTGTCGTCCCCTCTATTCTTACAACACTCCTGCTACTATCGTGGACTCCTCCATGGTCTTTTAAACAGAAATATAAGCATGGAAAAAACAAACTGACATGAGACAGACCCATAATCTACTAGATCCCATTAGGTGTTTGGGTTGTGCTTCGAACCCCAAAGACTTCATCAGACAAGAACATGCAGAGAGGCTTACATAACACTCGACCAGAGCCTAATCACTAGTTCTATCTTGCATAGCTGCTGATGCTCCAAGTACTCCCGACGAGATAATCTTGAATCTTCAGCACTTGTTTCTTTAGTCACAACTGACTGCTGAACAATATTCATTGTATAAGTTGCATTCCTATCATCGAACCGAAATTGCTATCCTTTATCCTTGAATAAGAAACTTTAGGATGACATGAACGCTGAAATCCTTCTATCCGAATAAGTGAGTCTCCCCCATTTGGAATTGTAAAGTGTAACGCCACACATATCAGTGTAAAATTTTCATTTTCGAAAGCAAACCAAAAACCATAAATGCTTACAAAACATAGTTCCCAAAATTCATAATCATAAATCAGAGTGTCATAAAATTAAATGTCATAAAAACCCGAAGGATGTGCATGATCAAGCCTTCGTCGTGCCCCTATTATCTAAAGTACCTGAAACCATAACAATCAAACTGTAAGAAAAATTTAACGAGTTCCCCCAAAGTACCACACACAAACATACATATAACAACATGCATATATCAGCCTTCAGACTGACTGGATTGCCTCATAAGGCCTACAACCAATCTGAACCACTCTCTACGCCATCGGCCTAAATGGACCTCATCTCGGGCCTTCAGTCTATCCAGACCGCCCCATATATCTTGGCCTTCAGCACAAAGTAGGACCGCCTCAAGCTAACAAACCATAACATGTCGAAATATATAATAAGAATCAATAACGAACAAGTACAAGAAATAATATATATATATATTTATATATATATATGCCAGTCTAACACATACTCAGTGAATGTAGGTACTCATAAAGATCTAACACTCTATCATTTAACCAGCATAACATTAATCCAATATACTAGGATACGTAATCCAGTGGGTCGGTATTGGTGCTTTCGACCCCTAAGTATAGTGAGGAAAACTAACCTTACAGTTTGAAATGTAGTTGATTGGATCACTACTCCAATTGCTGACTATATCGGTCAACTATACAATAATAGTGACCTAAACTCAAACTACTACTCAAATTACCCAAAATTTCCCTAAGTAAATCATGGTCAAAGTCAAAGTCAAAAAGTCAAAGGGATCAATGCAAACTGAGACACTAATATACTTATGAGTTTGGAGAAGTTCCTGGAATTGGCGATCAAATATGTGAGGAAAAATCAAATGAAGGGTTGTCGGATGATGAGTACACGTAACAAAAAACTGCTTTTAGTCCATGGTATTGTATTCCTTCTATTCCAGATTCTACAAAACCTATTCTTAAACATGGACCATTTCACAGTTTATGTCTGAATGATAAATTAATTGTCAATCAAACCTATAACACCAAATAAAGACCTAGCATTTGTTGTTAAATTCAAAACCGTTAGAGAATAATTTTAGATAAAGCTTCAAAAATATTCAAAATCTCGGTACCAGGTTGTTTGTATGCAAGAAAACTATCATTTGTGTTTATACGCATCACTCTTTAAAGGAACATAAATGTTTGAAATTAAGACGTTTAATGACGAGCATACATGTTCTTCATTGCTTATACACCCAAATCATAGGAAAGCAAATAGTGGAGTTGTGGGAACCATAATACATGACATTATGGGTCAACGAAGTTTGAGAGTTTGGAAGCCTAATTATATAATTAGAGACATGAATGCTTTGCTACAAATAAATATGAGTGATTCACAAGCGTGGCATGCTAGAGAATTTTCTTTGAGATTGATGATGGAAATACGTCAAGTTAGTAGACCAAAAAACACCAATCGTATTCCCTGTCATGGTGAGGAACCAAAAATAAGAAGGTGTAGTAGATGCCATATCACAACTCATAATGTAAGGACGTGTAAGGAAATCGTTCGAAGGAACAAAAGTAAAAGTAAAAAACATACAAGGGTGTCAGGATGTGGGACAAAAGCGACAGAAGTGGAACCAACGCAAGCGATCGAAAACCAATGGCAACATGAGCCAGAGCACCAATGGACGTAACATATCAAACAACAATGTCAACAGCAACCAAACAACCAATGGACACAACAGACTTTACATCAATGGTAGCAACAACCACATAACCAATGGACACAACAAACTGAACATTAATGGTAGCAGGAACCATAGAACCAATGGACGTAAGGGACGTAATACTAACCGCATGAAGAGTCACAGAACCTATGGCGGGGTTGCACCGGGTACCAATGGCAGCAAGAGCTGTATAACTAATGGACGCAACCGACAATAAATCTAGGGACACAAGTAATGGAAAATCCATGGCTGGAATATGAAGACAGATCAAAGTTTTTGTCGTTCGATTTGAATGAATGAAGTTTATTTCAAAGTATGTTTATTATGAAGGTTGTATGTTTATGTTTTCTAAAGTATGTTTTGTAACCTACTTAAACTATGTTTATTATACAAAATATAGGTGTGTCTAATTTTATAAAAAAACATGGAATATTTGTATAATTTTATTAAACACACAACTTTTTTAAACGGGTAATTAAATAAGAAAAATGATTGACAAACAGCTCTACGGATTACCAAACAATTCTACTGATTTCGTAACAGTTATGAGTATTCCCAAATAGTTCTGCTGAATAAGTAATATAAAATCACTTTACCACACGTATCCTTTCATCGATTTTGTACCATTTCTTCTTCATTTCATTTTTTTTAAAAAACCAACACTCATATTTTCCCTTATAATGGCTTCCATACCATGGAGCGCTGAGGATAACCTCCGTTTAACTCGTGCATATATTAATATCTACGAGACCACCAGGGTGAATGATCCAAGTTATTGGACCCTATTTAACTTATGCCTTCAACGCTGACCCTCAAACTGCCCCAGAAAACTATCAATAGACAGTTGACATCACAACAAAATGGTATCAATTAAAAAACAGAAGTCTTGGTTTTCAACAATCTTAATACCCAAATTGATGACACACGTCCGAATGAAGACAAGGAAGTCATCCTGGACGCGGCGAAAGTGGAATAAATATCCATTAGTGATGGGTTAGAATTCATGTCTGAAGGCCTTAAAAATTTCATAAAAGATCTATCTTATTTTTAATTTGTATTGCGTTTGTAGAAGGATATTTTAATATAGTTTTTTTTTATTAGGTTATTTATATGCACCCGTTTGTATTACGTTATTTATATGTATCTGGTTTGTATTAGGTTATTTACCAAACTAGTTGAGTTAACTGATGGCTTTTGAGCATAATATCAATCCTATGGTATACATGCAACCGTAAAGCTTTGGATCTAGGATTTCTCAAGTAATACAACCAATAATAATTATCAAAAGCTATAACCCTATACTAGCATGCTATTTTCGAAATTAATACCTAATACAAAGTTAGATGATTACCTTCCTTGTAGCTTGCATGATCTTCAACCTTTGAGAACTTAGCACCTCAAATGTGATGCATCTAATAGATCACAAACACTAAGAGCAATTTAGAGGAATATGAGAAAGAGGTTAGGGATCACAAAAATTAGTTGGTACTCTAATTATGGTTCAAGTTTTGATTTTAAGAGTCCCATGGGGTCCTTATATAGCTGAGTTGTTAGGGTTTTAGTCAAAACCCTAATATGATTGCTTAAGCCCTAAGCAGTCCACATGATCCTTCCAAAAGGACCCTATGGAGGATTTCTATGTGGGCTTCCACATAAATTTCGTTCAGCTCCTTCTTTTAGGAGTCCATAGCCCATATCGCAATTATCTTATAATTACAATATCAGTCCCCTTAATTTAGTTAATCTCTTTTGATCACTAAAATAATTCCAAATTAATCTTGACCAATATTAATTAAATAATATGATTTATCAATTAATATATCATTCTTATAATATATTAATAAATCGCAATTAATCATCTTTCTCAATAATTTATCCAGTCAAGTTGTTACGGTGAAGGCAACCCAAAAGGACCATGTTACTATCGGGTCAAGTACATAACAATCATACTTATGGCTTAGACACCTAATCCAATAGTCTCACACTTGGATAAGTCTAATAACTATAAATACAAGTACGACTTCAAAATTCGATTCAAAATCATTACTCTTAAAAGCTGATGTCGAACTCTGACACGTCCTATAGATAAGGGATCATGTAGTCCTCCGTTCTCAAGATATCATGCGGACAAATACATGGAACATAGTCATACTTAATGTCCAGTAGTTTGTTTCCCAATTTCTGATTCGTTTGACATAGAACTTAATTAAACACATCAACTCAGTTCTGACCGGGCCTGACACATAAGTCAACACAAAATCATCGAGGGGCCCAAGATATCACTTTTAATCCTCCTAGGACGAAAGGAACGGATAAACTTTGACTTATGTTCTTGTACTATATACTTATAGAATCATACAAAACAAAACGTTTTATAACATCAAGATATTGATGTGTTTACGCATCATTAATGCACAACCAACTTGTAAACAAAACCTCATATTTCTTGGTTTAAAGACTATACGATATTATCGTCTCACAATCACTCATGATGAATTCCATGAAGTGATTCATCTGAGCGCGTGTTTAATCCAATATTCAAATCTTATTCTAAGAGAACTCATGAACGTTGCAACAAACCTTTGCTATTTCTAAATGCTTAGACAATCTACAATCCAATTCATGATAGCCTTGCCTGAATACATACTTCCAAAGTATAATCGACTATGGCTAGTTTGAATAATTTTATTATTCTGGAAGTAAAATACATGCAAAATGAAACAATAGTAAAAAATTGACACAAGACTGTAACTTTAAAATTAAATAAAACTCCTTTATTTAATCATCAAATGTTAGTTACATTTTATCTATTACAAGTTTCTAAACAGCTATCTAATCACTAAAACTAATATCGTTCTTCAGCCCAATACTCCTAGCATGTTGTAAGTGCCTAACCCTACTCAGTTCCTTCCTAAGGAGATCTGTTGGGTTTTCTTCTAAGGATACCCTCTTCACTACGAGGAGTCCCTCTTTTACTCGATGTCTAATGAAGTGACATTTTCTTTTGATGTTCTTGGATATACCTTGATCCCTCGGTTCCCTGGTTAAGGATACCGCACCCTTGTTGTCACAGAAAATTTCCATTGGCTCCTTTATGGTCGATACAACTCAAAGGTCTCCAATGAAGTTCTTTATACATATTGCCTCCTTCGACGCTTCAGTAACTGCTATCTACTCTGATTCGCATGTTGAATCAGCTATGGTCTCTTGCTTGGAACATTTCCAGGTTACTACTCCTCTATTTAGGGCGAACACATAGCTCGACTGAGAGTGGAAATTATCTCGGTCGGTCTAAAAACTGGCGTTACTATAGCCTCTCACTCTCAAATCATCACTCCCATCGATGATGAGAACCCAGTCTTTAGTCCTCCATAGGTACTTAAGAATGTTCTTTACCAAAGTCCAGTGAAATCTACCAGGGTTCCCTTGATATCAACTAACCATGCTCAAAGCGAAAGCCACATCAGGGAGAGTACATGTCATAGCATACATGATCAAGCCATCATTGGAATCATATGGTACTCGACTCATTTCTACTATCTCAGCATCAGTACTCGGACTCTGAGTCTTACTTAGTTTGGTATTTCTCTGGATTGGTAATTCTTCTTTCTTGGAATTCTCCATGCTAAAACTTTTCAACACTTTATCCAAGTAACTACTTTGACTAAGTCCTATTAGTCTTTTACTCCTATTTCTCAATATCTTTATCCCTAGAATATAAGCAGCTTCTCCAAGGTCCTTCATAGCGAAGCACTTCCCAAGCTGGGACTTGACCTCCTACAAGGTTGCAATGTTCTTTCCTATGAGCAGTATATCATCCACATACAAAATGAGAAAGCGAACTATGCTCCCACTAGCTTTGACATATAAACAAGACTTATCCTCGCTTCTCGAAAAACCAAACTCTATGACTTTCTCATCAAAACAAATATTCCATCTACAAAACGCTTGTTTTAATTCATAGATGGATTTCTCAAGCTTACACACTCTATTAGGGTACTTTGTATCGACAAAACCCTCTGGTTGACTCATGTAACCATCTTTAGCCAACTTCCCATTATGTAAAGTTTTTTGACATCCATCTTCCATATTTCATAATCATGAAACCCAGCTATAGCTTGCATAACCCTTATAGATTTAATGTTTGCCACTGGTGAGAAGGTCTCGTCATAGTCACCTACGGGAGTTTGAGTAAAGCGCTTCGCAACCAATCATGCCTTATATGTGTGTACATTCCCAACCATGTCAGTCTTCTTCTTGAAGATCCATTTGCACCTGACCATCTTACGACCTATCACATTGTCAACCAAGTTCCAAACTTTATTGTCATACATGGACTGAATCTCGTTGTCCATAGCCTCTTTCAATTTCGCCGACTTCGGGCCTGCCATGGCGTCCTTCTCGTCATTAGGTTCATCCATATTTATTAGTGCCCTCTAACTAATAAACGTATCACCCTCCGCGATTATATGGAAACCATATAATACAGGTGGAACACTAACTCTAATGGAACGTCTAAGAGGTAATGACTCGTCAATCGGTTCAACCGAAGTTTCCTCCTTAGGTTGAGTGCCAGTGTTATAGACTTAGTATACTTTTTGATGGTTCCCTATAAATAGGGACTTAGGCTAGAAGTTGTAGTACGATGCTTGAACTCACTTCTGCTTAACTCTGTAATCAGACTTTATCAATATAAGATCTGATTAATATTTACTCTCTGTGTTCTTCATCTTAATTCATTCAAATCTATCTTTTCTGTTCTAAATTCTCGATAACAATTCTCATCAATTGGTATCAGAGCAGGATTCAAACTGCTTAGATTTGCTTTTCGTATAAGAATCATTTGCTTTTTGAGTTACAAATTTACTCAAAATTTTCCGCGCATTATTGATTTTGAAAATCACTTTTGATCTTCAGATTTGAATTGATTCTGCAATTGAATTGTTAAATCGAGTAATCGATTAGTGTTTTGTGATCGATTCATTTGATAAATTCTGAAATTCATCAAGTTTTCAAGTTTTCAGATATTTTCAGTGTTCATCAATGGCGAACTTCAACATGAATTCAATGACTTCTTTCTCTCACTTGCTTGGTTCATCAACCAAAATTCCAATGTTAATTCCAGAATACTATGATCAGTGGCCTGATAGAATGGAAGATTACTTAAATGGAATTGATGAAGAACTTTGGAAGTGTATTGATGGAACAGTACTAGCTCCTGCTAATGTTCAACAAATTGGATCGTCT